TTGCACCCATTGACATTCATCAATGCTTGCTAAATGTTTATGGAGATCAAACAGCGGATGGTAGCACAGTGAGGTGGTGGGTGGTGCGCTTTAGCAGCTGCAACAGTGATGTGAATGACCACATTTCTAACAGCCATGCACAGCTATTATACCTCGAAATGAAGTGTCCACATGAATTGGTGGCTTGCAATCAGGGAATTGTGTCTTCAGTGTGTTGGAAACAATGGTGGCAACACTGGAATATTACAAGTTTGTTCCAAGTAGGCCCTGCAGCGTCTGATGGACTCAGATGTGAACGATCCAAATCATTTATTACAAGTTCTCACATCACTTTTATACCTTCACAGATTTTCTAGCTTTGCCAACCACCCCTACAACTTTCCCATCCACCTTTACATGTCACAGAGCATTCTACAAAGCGCTCTTCAACTGTTCACACAGGCACTTATTTAATCAGAGCCATGAGACATCCTTTCTTCTTCTAGAGGTGTCCTTAGTTCTCATGCTGTTTCTCTTGCTTCACAGCTTCTGCTCAGAACAGTTTTTCTTGTATTCCCACAAAGCCCCATAAATGCTCACACAGGAAAAAAAAAAAAAAAAACGTCATATGCATATTTGTCAGGGCCTATTTAACCAATATGAGGCTGAAGGTGAACAGTTTCCTGAATCACATCATTACTGGTGACAAGACATGGTGCCACTACCATGAGCTGTAGTCAAAACATCAGATCATGGACTTGTGACGTGAATTTCCCCATCAAATAAAAAGTTGAAGACACAGTCCTAAATGAGTAGTGGTGTGCACTGTCTTCTGAGTTAGGAAAAAAGTGATCCTTCTGAATTTCATGGGACCCAGACAAACCATTTTGGACAATGCTTAAGAACAGAAGGGAGAGCAGTGACCAGCCACCTTCTCTATCTTCATGCCTCAGACATATCTTAACCTAAAGAAGTTCTACATTACCTAGGCCTTTGAGGAGTTGTACTTGTTCCATGACTCTGAAATCAGATTGCTTATTTATTTATTTATTAGTAGTTCAAACTAATGGTTTCAGTGTGAAAATAGAGACATTGTTCTCTCATACCTTTCACTTGACTAAAACATAAGTCTTTCCTAAACTGCTGCTGTTTCTGATCACAGAATCAGGTCACTCATTTGTTGAACGTTTTTATGTCCTGCAGCATAGTAATTTTACCATCCATTGTCCAATTTTTTTTAAATGATATCTTTAATACTGTATGAGATTTTAAAATCTCGTGAACTTGTCTAAGGATCTCTTCAGACAAGATACAGCACCCCAGACAACTGAATATTGAACAAGTTCGAAAGTCTGTTTTCCTGGAAGTGGATGAAAATAGTGTGTATATAAACACTGTGTGATCCTCTGATTCATCACAACTCCTCTGCAAAGATAAGTCTTGCTGAGCCAAATAAGTTTTAGAAGATATTTATGCCACTTTTAGTCAAGAAGTTTTAAATAATTGATTGCAAAAATAATCATACATTTTCAACTGCTAAAAATACTGTTAACTAGTAAATGAAATCTATGTTTTTCATTTCATACAAAGTTTTGCACGTGACAGACCACTACCATACATCTTTCTCCTCCTCAATACAAACAGTTGGAAGAGTTTAAGCAATATGTAAGGGTTTTATTTTGAAATACAACATTGCTGGAAGTTGTGTTTTCCTACAAACTCCCTTTTATAATTTTGTTTATGATGTAAAAACAAGCTCATAGTCTGTTTCTGCACTTTCACTGCAGGTCTATTGATTCAGTCCTGAGTTCCTACGTGGAAGTCTACACTGCAAAAGGGACAAATCATCTTGACATCTGAAAACAGCTTCCGTAAGAAAGCCAATTTCCATTTCATTTAGATAGTGAAGTGCAAGTCTGTGTAGGTAACCAAAATAGTTTTGCACAGATTGCTAGCCATTAATAGAATGTCAGGCATTAGGTACGTTTGTGGATATTAGAGGTATTATCAGAACACAACAGTCCCTCCTTTCTGTGTCAGCAGACTTTTCAGTCTGTGCTGAAGAATGAATAAGAAAATAAATGGAGCCCAATAAGGCCATAAATCCTGTGGACCTGCAGATGTAGATGCAATATAAACCAACTAAATTGTGAATCTGTTAGTCTCCTTCCTCAGTGAAGGTCTATTTCTTTGAAAATGGCCTAATCTAAAACATCACTAGCATGCCAATACTAGTACTTCTGAAAAATTACTGATTATCAATATTTAAATAAGTAACTATCTTTCTCTAATTCCGAATATTGTTCATAGAATATTTGCCTTTATAACTTTTTAACTATTTTTAAATCATAGTATAATTGATTACCATAGAGTTCACAACAGGCATGACAAAACAAGAGCTTAGAAAATGGCATGTGACTAATTTCATTAGTTTTCTAATTGCAAATTTTTGCCAACATAATTGAATATTGTAGTTTATTATTTTTATATTAATTGCTTTAGTGATTGATTTCTGTGCTGCAGGCAGCTCATGGCTTGCAGCTATTCACAACTTGCAATATGGTACAAAAAGTCTCTCTGATTTTGTAGTAACACTGCTCCCTCTGTTCCTGAATGGATCAGACAATTTCATCAGTTTACTTACATAGCAACTAACCAAATCTAATTTTCAAGAGTCCTATCAATCTGTAGAAGAAATGAAAGTGAAAAAATAAACTAAAATGATATCAGTTGAAAAAATATACACCTACTATTTCAGACATGGAAGAAGCAGGAAGACTAATAATTTAATGAGGGATAAGAGAGCAGGAGTGAAGTCACTAGACTTCCGTGTCATTAAAAAACATAGAAATAGGCTGACAGAAGACTCATGAAGTTCAACAGAGCTCAACAACAGCAAATTCTAGAATAACCCTAGGTGCCAGTAGAGGCTGGGAGCCAATCAGTTGGTAGGGATGTCTAATTGCTGTCTTCAGCCATTTAAGTGGTAATTTCAGAGAAGGAGCCATCTCTTTTCAGAAGGGCATAGTGAAAGGCTGAGAAGCAGTAGGCACAAACTGAAGTGAGGAAAGTTCTAGTAAGGCATTAGGAAAGAAAATCACTAAATCACTCTGCACACAATCAAGAGGTTCCGGGGTCCTCCATCTTAGAGATATTCAGAACTTATCTGGATATAGCCCTGAATAAACTAATCAAATTCCAATTAACCCTTGCTTGAGCAGGAAGTCAAACCAGATGATTTTCAGAGGTCCCTTTCAGAATAAATGCTGCTGATATGATTCACGACTAATGGTAAGCTAGTGTTAACACTGTGCTGAAGTCCTCCCATCTAATTTTGAAGATTCACAAATGAGTATGAGAAATCATGGAATGTTAAACTCTTTTTTCATCAGCTTAAAGCAGTACAGACTATAAGATGTTACAGTTGATGAACGAGAGCTCACTTAATTACTATCAGCTCAGCTTCCAGGGCTTGCCTGTTAATTATTGCTACCAGGATATTATTGCCAGCTAGAATTGTTTAGCTCCTTCGTAGCAGTCACAACTGCAATTGGAGACTACCCACGATAAGTTTTGTCCTTGGCTAGGGTGGAACAAATATGAGTACATATGCAACTTGACGATCAGCACATACATGCAAGGTGCTAGTGAAACACTGAATTCTAAGTGACCACAACTTCATTTACTTCTCCTTTGACTCACCTCCTTTGGGCATCAATTCCAAATTTAAAGTGATGATGTTTAGCTTTTACTAATGGTGTACAGTGTCAACAATACGAAGTCAAAGCATGAAAAATACTACAGAGGAATCCAAAGTCAATTTGTACTCAGCTCCTCAGATTTGTGAAAGAAAATGTCTGGTGATGAGCAAGACAGGTTCTAGTATTGTTTCATACAACAGGGATATTTTGGTGAGTTGACATCATATAGCCGCCAGACTCCAATCAGTCCCTATCCCAACCCCTCTCCTCAACAGGACACTGTGTGAAAATAAGACTTGAGATCACAGAATCATAGAATCACAAGGTTGGAAAGGATCTACAAGATCATCCAGTCCAATTGTAGATCCTGTGGGCTGAGATAAAGACAAGAAGATCACTCACCATTTTGGATTTTCCCCAGGATTGCCATCATGTGTAAAATGGGAAAATGGGGAAAATTAATTTATTTTCAATTAAAAATAGATTTGGATGGTGAGAAAGACAAAACTAGAACACCTTTTTCCCAATCCACTTCATCCTAGGCTCATCTTCCTAACTCCAGTCTCCTTCAGGTGGCACAGGAGAAGGGGGAATCAGACCTATTTTCAGCCCCTCAGAGTTGCTCTCTGTCTTTCCTTTCTCCTCACATTTTTTCCCTGCTCCAGTGCAGGTCCTTCGCAGGCAGCAACCTGCTTCTGTGTGGGATCCTCCCCATGTGCTGCTGTTTAGTCCTGGATCCTGCTCCAGCATGGGATCTCTTTCCTCTGCAGCTTCCTTCAGGTGACATGCACGTTCTCCACTTTGAATTCCTCCATGGCTGTAGTGTGGAAATCTGCTTCACTGTGGGTTCTCCGTGGGCTGCTCTCCCCCAGATGGTGCAGGACCACTCCTCACCCTTCTCCCCTCACCCCTCCTAGCCCTGTGCTGCGTCCACTCCCCTACCCAGGCTGTCTCCAGGCACCCCAGGGCGGCTGCTTGGCCCTGCCCTGCCCTGCACTGTGTGGGGCCATTGGAGCCTGCTGGAACTGTCTGTGACGGGTCATAATAACCAATTTTGCATTTCTTTGCTTTTTGCTTTTTTTTGCCTTTTTTTTTTTTTTTTTTTTAAATCTGGGACAGAAACTTTAATATTTCCTTTCTGAAGAGATTTCTTCATTTTTGCATATCTTTTTAATGAATATGAATGCTCAGAAATGTTGTAAAAAAACCTGTCTATTAAGTTTTATGGTGTAATTAATTGATAGGCGTCTCCTGTAAATAAACAAATGTTCCTTCCAACCCCTGCAGTTCTGTGATTCTGTGATTCATGTGAATTATTACCCTCATTTTCAGATTATTTCTTTCTCGTGTCAGTTCTTTGTTGGTGCAAGCTTTCAGGACAGAAATGAAGCTGAGAAAATCATCTCGTGAGAAATACGTTCCTCTTAGTTACTATGAAACTTGGTTTGTTTCTCTCCTTGCACTTTTTGTGTGTGTCTGTGTGGGGCTGACTGTACTTTCATGGTTAACAATCAAGGAGTTAGAACAAGGTAAGTACCAACCTTCAACTTTTTCAGGAGATCTTCCGTAGAAGTTCAGATTTTGAAGACAGCATCACTGTCACTGTAATTATATTTCATATTTCTTACTATAATTCTAATGCTTTTGGCTTGGCTTTTTGTTTATTTTACACTTTCCTCTCTAGATATTGATCTAAACAAAGTAAGCCAAGATAGAAGCATTGAAGCATGCCTTGAAGCTTGGTGAAATGAGAGAATTTTCACATCTAATAATTTAAGGGAAGTCCTTGGAATTTAATCCAAACTGTAATGTAAAGCTGTAAAGCTTTGTTTATTCAGTCATATTCATCAAATAGTGAACATAATAGCAAAAAAAAAAAAAAGCAAACTATGAATGTTTGCTTTTTCACTATGTGTACTGTTTGACACTTCAAGACATTCATAATCCACTGGGGTCTCTAGAGAATTTTAAAGTGTCCTAGAATCCTTTGAATCTTCTTTTTCT